ATGTTTTTACCTGTCACAGGTGTGGCATCGATACATATACTTTCGAAATGAACGGTATGGTAAACAACACAGCTCAATTCCAATGCAATATCACACAAAATAATTAAATCAAATTGAAAATAAATTGTAATCTATGAAAATTCCATTGATCAATGCAACCGGAAACGTTGAAATGGAATCGTAACATATTTAGTATCGTGTGTGTGTGTGTGTGTGTGTGTGTGTGTGTGTGTGTGTGTGTGTGTGTGTGTGTGTGTGTGTGTGTGTGTGTGTGTGTGTGTGTGTGTGTGTGTTGCTATTACGTGCAACAGATGAAGCTATTTTGCAAAAGAAAAACATGTTTTTTGCCTGTCACAGGTGTGGCATCTATGTAGTAGGTATATTAAAACATGCATGTATTTCATTGGAACGTTGAGTCCAAATTTCAAAGCCATTGGAGAAGAACTCCTGGTGTAGTGGTAAGACACTCGCCTGGCGTTCCGCGAGCGCTATGTCATGGGTTCGTATCCTGGCCGGGGAGGATTTACTGGGCGCAATTCCTTAACTGTAGCCTGTTTAACGCAACAGTAAAATGTGTACTTGGATGAAAAAACGATTCTTCGCGGCAGGGGATCGTATTCCAGGGACCATAGGATTAAGGACTTGCCCGAAACGCTACGCGTACTAGTGGCTCTACAAGAATGTAACAACTCTTGTATATATCTCAAAAAAAAAAAAAAAAAAAAAAACTTTCGGAGATTACAGGGATGTGTTGCTCTTACGCCCAACAGATGGCGCTGTTTCTCAAAATAAGCGTGTTTTTTTCCCCTGTCAGAGGTGAGACATGTATATAGTAGATATATAAAAAGATGCGCTTATTCCAATGCAACATTGTGTCAAAATTTTCAAAGCAATCGGTAAAGAGGTTTCGAAGATTTCCCTCGCATGAAAAACACCTGAAAAAAACACAGTTTTTCAGAAAAAAAAACATGTTTTTTTTTTTCACCGTCACAGACGTGACATCTATATAATATAAATATAAAACCTGCTCGGATGCGAATGGAACGTTGTGTCAAAATTTCAAAGCAATCGGTTAAGAGGTTTCGGAAATTTCCCTCACATGAAAAACAGTTTTTCAAAAAAGCATGTTTTTAACTTTTCACAGACGTGACATCTATATATTAGGTACATAAAAACACGCTCGTATACGAATGGAACGTTGTGTAAAATTTTCAAAGCAATCGGTAAAGAGGTTTCGAAGATTTCCATCGCATGAAAAACACCTGAAAAAACACAGTTTTTCAGAAAAAAACATGTTTTTTTTTCACCGTCACAGACGTGACATCTATATATTAGGTACATAAAAACACGCTCGTATACGAATGGAACGTTGTGTAAAATTTTCAAAGCAATCGGTGAAGAACTTTCAGAGATTAGCGACTTTGAACAAACGAACATTTACATTTTTATTTATATAGATTTAATAGATGTGAAAATAGCGGATTATATTTCTTCCTAACTCAGTGCTTTAGTCTCAAATTATCTCATCTTATCGATCCTGAGTGAACATTACATTATAACTTACGCATTCGTCTTCGGGGTAATGTGAGAGGTGTGGGATGTACAGTGCCTTGAGTGTGCAAGATAATGATATCATCCCATGTGATATCATGAGATATCATGGGATGGTCGTGTTAGCTATCATGGGATATCATGGGATGGTCGTGTTAGCTATCATGGGATGGTCGTGTTAGCTATCATGGGATGGTCGTGTTAGCTATCATGGGATGGTCGTGTTAGCTATCATGGGATGGTCGTGTTAGCTATCATGGGATATCATGGGATGGTCGTGTTAGCTATCATGGGATGGTCGTGTTAGCTATCATGGGATGGTCGTGTTAGCTATCATGGGATATCATGGGATGGTCGTGTTAGCTATCATGGGATATCAGGGGATGGTCGAGTTAGCTGTCATGGGATATCAGGGGATGGTCGGGTTAGCTGTCATGGGATATCAGGGGATGGTCGGGTTAGCTGTCATGGGATATCAGGGGATGGTCGGGTTAGCTGTCATGGGATATCAGGGGATGGTCGGGTTAACTGTCATGGGATATCAGGGGATGGTCGAGTTAGCTGTCATGGGATATCAGGGGATGGTCGGGTTAGCTGTCATGGGATATCAGGGGATGGTCGAGTTAGCTATCATGGGATATCATGGGATGGTCGGGTTAGCTGTCATGGGATATCAGGGGATGGTCGGGTTAACTGTCATGGGATATCAGGGGATGGTCGAGTTAGCTGTCATGGGATATCAGGGGATGGTCGGGTTAACTGTCATGGGATATCAGGGGATGGTCGAGTTAGCTGTCATGGGATATCAGGGGATGGTCGGGTTAGCTGTCATGGGATATCAGGGGATGGTCGGGTTAGCTGTCATGGGATATCATGGGATGGTCGGGTTAGCTGTCATGGGATATCAGGGGATGGTCGGGTTAACTGTCATGGGATATCAGGGGATGGTCGAGTTAGCTATCATGGGATATCATGGGATGGTCGGGTTAGCTATCGTGGAATATCATGGGATGGTCGGGTTAGCTAGCATGGGATATCATGGGATGGTCGGGTTAGCTATCGTGGGATATCATGGGATGGTCGGGTTAGCTATCATGAGATGGTTGGTTTAGCTATCGTGGGATATCATGGGATGGTCGTGTTAGCTATCATGGGATATCATGGGATGGTCGTGTTAGCTATCGTGGGATATCATGGGATGGTCGGGTTAGCTATCATGGGATATCACGGGATAGTCGGGTTAGCTATAATGGGATATCACGGGATGGTCGGGTTAGCTATCGTGGGATATCACGGGATGGTCGTGTTAGCTATCATGGGATGGTTGGTTTAGCTATCGTGGGATATCATGGGATGGTCGTGTTAGCTATCATGGGATGGTCGTGTTAGCTATCATGGGATGGTCGGGTTAGCTATCATGGGATGGTCGTGTTAGCTATCATGGGATAGTCGTGTTAGCTATCATGGGATGGTCGTGTTAGCTATCATGGGATAGTCGTGTTAGCTATCATGGGATGGTCGTGTTAGCTATCATGGGATGGTCGTGTTAGCTATCATGGGATAGTCGTGTTAGCTATCATGGGATGGTCGTGTTAGGTATCATGGGATAGTCGTGTTAGCTATCATGGGATGGTCGTGTTAGCTATCATGGGATGGTCGTGTTAGCTATCATGGGATAGTCGTGTTAGCTATCATGGGATATCATGGGATGGTCGTGTTAGCTATCATGGGATATCATGGGATGGTCGGGTTAGCTATCATGAGATATCATGGGATAAGTCACGATATAAGTGCTCCAAACATGCGACTATGTCAATCGCCTCGTTTACGCAAGATGCAACATTGATCAGAAGATGAGCCATCACAATACACAATATTCAGCTGGAAGCCCAACAAGAGGAGTCTAAACTGTGGCTCAAGAAGCCACAAGTTAAGACAGAAACCTTAAGATGATTTTTCACCCATAGGGTTGTAAACCCGAGGAACCGCCTACCCGCCGAACCCGCCCATAGGGTTGTAAACCCGAGGAACCGCCTACCCGCCGAACCCGCCCATAGGGTTGTAAACCCGAGGAACCGCCTACCCGCCGAACCCGTAGAAGCCAAAACTCTATTGTGTTTTAAAATACAGCTAAAAGGGAGCCGGTCGGCCGAGCGGACAGCACACTAGACTTGTGATCCTGTGGTCCTGGGTTCGATCCCAGGCGCCGGCGAGAAACAATGGGCAGAGTTTCTTTCACCCTATGTCCCTGTTATCTAGCAGTAAAATAGGTACCTGCGTGTTAGTCAGCTGTCACGGGCTGCTTCCTGGGGGTGAAGGCCTGGTCGAAGACCGGGCCGCGGGGACACTAAAAGCCCCGAAATCATCTCTAGATAACCTGTAGATAACAGCTGGAAAAGATCATCAGGGGGAGGGCATTTGACAAGCCGCCGACATTCTGTCCTCGTCAAGGTCACTAGTAGTGGCCCACAGGTAAATAAAAATTACATAGTAATTAGTGGATCACGTGTTGGCATAATTATAAGTCAACAGCGTGTTACACTTGTCAATAATTTTCGTCTCATTCACTTTATTTAGTGCGGATACTTATTTAAGTGGCGCGGTGCTAGTTAATTACTTATGACACTTTTGTAAGTATGAGTGAGAGATAGTTTGTGGTTTGTTCTATCTTGAGTAGTGTGAGTGACTGCTGCAGCTGACTGGTAACATGACTGTGAGTGAATATATCTGACTGACAGACCAGTCCGGTGAGCGATACTTGCTGATATTATCGTTCACTTGGTAACGCGGCGCGGGAGCTTGACAAGGAGACATTGTTGCCATGTACCTACCTTGAGGTTACCTTGAGGTGCTTCCGGGGCTTAGCGTCCCCGCGGCCCGGTCGTCGACCAGGCCTCCTGGTTGCCGGACTGATCAACCAGGCTGTTGGACGCGGCTGCTCGCAGCCTGACGTATGAGTTACAGCCTGGTTGATCAGGTATCCTTTGGAGGTGCTTATCCAGTTCTCTCTTGAACACTGTGAGGGGTCGGCCCGTTCTCGCAAATTTAATAAGTCAATATTGACTTATTAAATATGTGCATAGGTGACATACTTAACATAATAGATACCCTTAAAAAGATTCATAGAAAACACCGACCTTACCTAACCTACTTACTATGTTAAGATAAGCATCTTATTGCTTCGTAATTACAATTATTACCTAACCTATAATAGGTATAGGTTAAGTAATAATTGTAATTATGAAGCAATAAGATGCTTATCTTAAGATACTAACAAGGTTAGGTAAGGTCGGTGTTTTCTATGAATCTTTTTAAGGGTATCTATTATGTTTAGTATATCATCTATGCACATAGTTAATAAGTCAATATTGACTTTACGAATTTGCGAGAACGGGTTGGAGGGGTCGGCCAGTTATGCCCGATGTGTCCGGTGTATGTAAGGTGATGTGTCATTGTAAATGATCTTTATCATCATAATGATCTTTATCATCATAATGATCTTTATCATCATAATGATCTTTATCATTATAATGATCTTTATCATCATAATGATCTTTATCATCATAATGATCTTTATCATCATAATGATCTTTATCATCATAATGATCTTTATCATCATAATGATCTTTATCATCATAATGATCTTTATCATCATAATGATCTTTATCATCATAATGATCTTTATCATCATAATGATCTTTATCATCATAATGATCTTTATCATCATAATGATCTTTATCATCATAATGATCTTTATCATCATAATGATCTTTATCATCATAATGATCTTTATCATCATAATGATCTTTATCATCATAATGATCATCATTATGTAAATGAGATTCATTGTTCCCGTAACTGTCTATTTGACTCTGAGTTTATCTCTGACTTGACTTAAGTCCATTCCATCCAGCGGTCGACCCCACAGACGCAATCATAAATTGTGACATGATCTTCATTCAAAACGGGAATTTTCTGAAATATAAATTAATAATATATTAGCATATTGTGCATATAATGACTCATCACGTGACACTGAGTGAGTAGTGCCAACAACCAACAGCAGCGTGTCAACTTTGGCACAATAACTTAAGCATCTTTATCTATTAGAACTTGCGAGTTATTTGTATCTGTTGTTGTTTTAAATTCGGTACTTGGAACAAAATGTTCCAAGTAGCACGGGCTATGGCGAGCCCGTAGTGGACTTATTTGTATCATTTATAAGTCCTTATCAATGTTTATGTTAAAATATTTAGGAATTCGAACCCCTAAGGTTACCTTGAGGTTTCCTTGAGGTTACCTTGAGATGGTTTCGGGGCATAGCGTCTCCGCGGCCCGGTCCTCGATCAGGCCTCCTCGTTGCTGGACTGGCGCCAGATTCACGAAGCAGTTACGCAAGCACTTACGAACCTGTCCATCTTTTCTCAATCTTTGGCGGCTTTGTTTACAATTATTAAACAGTTAATGAGCTCCGAAGCACCAGGAGGCTGTTTATAACAATAACAACAGATGATTGGCAAGTTTTCACGCTTGTAAACTGTTTAATAAATGTAACCAAAGCTGTCAAAGGTTGAAGAAAGATGTACACATTCGTAAGTACTTGCGTAACTGCTTCGTGAATCTGGCCCCTGATTAACCAGGCTGTTGGACGCAGCTGCTCGCTGCCTGACGTATGAGTCACAGCCTGGTTGATCAAACTGTGGTTGTTTCCTAACGACCTTGCCAACAACTACCCAATTACCCACCAGCCAACAAGCAGTAAAGGCCGCCACACAAAAGCCCCCCAAAAGATGACTGCCATTTAACAGTGCCGTTGGAGCTTTGAAATTGCCAATCACCAGCAAACAGAGGCCGGAAACTGCTGTTGAAATCATTGTTCAAAAAGCAACGGGATTTTTTTTGCACACAAAGAGATTTGTTCTCTCACAAAACCTCTCGTATTTTTCGAACAGTTTGTTCGGATTTGCTGGGAGAAGCCTCGCTTAAAGGGGGGGGAGGGAGAACCTAACTATGAATACAGTTTGCTGTAATATATGTAGAGTTATACAATTAACCGGAGTTGACAGTCGCTTAGAGTTTTCATGAAATGCAAATCTGTATTGCGGTGGACCGCGTTAAGGGATGTATATTTATAAGTCGTGTCATTATAGAGTCCTTGTAATGCAATTGTATTAAAGTCGTACACATTCCAGCATAGGTCGTAAGTGGCTAGGTTACGACGGTTTAGCGTGGGACGTAAGTGGCTATGTTACGACGGTCCAGCGTGGGACGTAAGTGGCTATGTTACGACGTCCAGAGTGGGACGTAAGTGGCTAGTAAGCTACGACGGTCCAGCGTGGGACGTAAGAGGCTAGTAAGCTACGACGGTCCAGCGTGGGACGTAAGAGGCTAGTAAGCTACGACGGTCCAGCATGGGACGTAAGAGGCTAGTAAGCTACGACGGTCCAGCGAGGGTCATAAGAGGCTAGTAAGCTACGACGGTCCAGCGTGGGTCGTAAGAGGCTAGTAAGCCAAAATGGTTCGAACAAATTTGGAACAAATACGGCTTCAGTGGAAGCCTCAGGAAGCTTCGAGGGACCAGTAGTACACTAAGTTACAATTCTTTTGACCATGTGGAGGCGTAGTGGTGTAGAGTCTGCGTCTAGGAACACCCAGTACATAGGTTCGAATCCTTATGACGGCTCCTGGGGATTGTCTCAACATCTTGAAGAGCTTGACACTACTGGACTGTGATTGGTGGATGGCGTTAAGACTGCCAGGTAGTACGGGTTCTTCCCTGGTCACTCTAAGTGTCGTTTGGCTGCGTCTCTGGCGGTGGTTGAGCTGTTAGTGTCCTCAAACACACTACTCACTCTCTCTCCTCTCTAATCATCCACTCGTCATTAAATAATTAGGTCAATGGGGTTTAGCTGCGCAACATTTTTCCACAAATTTAAATAAATTGTTGTTTGTCAGTTGAAAATAGATGGTAATTGGTAACTTTTAATAGTTTTGGCCTCGGTTCTCGTGCTAATTGGTCCATAGGCTCGTAAATCTCCAGCGTTAAGCATGGATAAACAACAACAATTTCAACAAACAAGTTAGCAAGTGAAGGCTTGTTTATTTGTTTATTAAATTAGTATGTCAGGAGGCCATCATGCGGCTGCCAGATGTATGATAACGCCTGAAACGCTCGACACCTCTGTGGCAACAACAGTTGTTCGCCTGCCAAACGTACGATAGTATACTTGTTAAGAGTATGGTATACCATTGTCGAAACGTTTGGGCAAATCCAGGTTCACTTCAAGCATGGACCGCTCTCCATGCGGTCACTCATTCAGTTACTAGCCAGACATCATCATACTTAACAAGTTAGTCGATGGCAATTGGTAAATCATTGGTTGATGAATGATGATTAGCAGCAACGTAACAATTGCGGTGGTTCAGAGACTAATGAGTTGCGTCTCTGATGGGCTAGGTGGGTTGTGTGGGTTGGGACGCTTTTGGTCAGCCAGAACCGTCGCTTTTTTGACGCAGTGGATATGTGAAGCTGGGCTGCCAGGTGTACGATGATGACCCGGGGGAGGCCAGGGCGGAGCCGGGGTGAAGTCGGGGCGGGGCCGGGGTGAGGAAGGGGCGGGGCCGGGGTGAGGTCGGGGCGGGGCCGGGGTGAGGTCGGGGCGGGGCCGAGGTGAGCTAGGTCGGGGCGGGGCCGGGGTGAGGTCGGGGCGGGGCCGGGGTGAGCTAGGTCGGGGCGGGGCCGGGGTGAGCTAGGTCGGGGCGGGGCCGGGGTGAGCTAGGTCGGGGCGGGGCCGGGGTGAGCTAGGTCGGGGCGGGGCCGGGGTAAGCTAGGTCGGGGCGTGGCCGGGGTGAGCTAGGTCGGGGCGGGGCCGGGGTGAGCTAGGTCGGGGCGGGGCCGGGGTGAGCTAGGTCGGGGCGGGGCCGGGGTGAGCTAGGTCGGGGCGGGGCCGGGGTGAGCTAGGTCGGGGCGGGGCCGGGGTGAGAAAGGAGCGGTGCCGGGGTGGAGCAGGGCAGGCTGTTGTCTCAACAAACCACATGACAACACCACCTTGTAATAATAAGTGAAATAGTTAACATATCTTGACCACTCAGGTAACTGACACTTGGACTAAAGGTCGTCCAGGCCCTCAGAGCCACACATTGACCTGCACAGGATGCAACCCACAACAGCTGCATTACTCCCGAGGATCTATTTACTGCTAGGTAAACAGAGGCAATAGGTGGAAGAAAACGATGCCTAACCGTCGCCCCCCAGCCGTGGGACGTCCCTGACGTGTACACCAGCGACGTAGACCACTTAAACACGTAGATGTTCTGTCACACTACCAGCAGGAGCCACACTACCAGCAGGAGCCACACTACCAGCAGGAGCCTCCACACTACCAGCAGGAGCCACACTACCAGCAGGAGCCACACTACCAGCAGGAGCCTCCACACTACCAGCAGGAGCCTCCACACTACCAGCAGGAGCCACACTACCAGCAGGAGCCTCCACACTACCAGCAGGAGCCACACTACCAGCAGGAGCCACACTACCAGCAGGAGCCACACTACCAGCAGGAGCCACACTACCAGCAGGAGCCTCCACACTACCAGCAGGAGCCTCCACACTACCAGCAGGAGCCACCACACTACCAGCAGGAGCCACCACACTACCAGCAGGAGCCACCACACTACCAGCAGGAGCCACCACACTACCAGCAGGAGCCACCACACTACCAGCAGGAGCCACCACACTACCAGCAGGAGCCTCCACACTACCAGCAGGAGCCTCCACACTACCAGCAGGAGCCTCCACACTACCAGCAGGAGCCTCCACACTACCAGCAGGAGCCTCCACACTACCAGCAGGAGCCACCACACTACCAGCAGGAGCCACCACACTACCAGCAGGAGCCTCCACACTACCAGCAGGAGCCACCACACTACCAGCAGGAGCCACACTACCAGCAGGAGCCTCCACACTACCAGCAGGAGCCTCCACACTACCAGCAGGAGCCACCACACTACCAGCAGGAGCCACCACACTACCAGCAGGAGCCACACTACCAGCAGGAGCCTCCACACTACCAGCAGGAGCCACCACACTACCAGCAGGAGCCACACTACCAGCAGGAGCCACACTACCAGCAGGAGCCACACTACCAGCAGGAGCCCCCACACTACCAGCAGGAGCCACCACACTACCAGCAGGAGCCTCGACACTACCAGCAGGAGCCCCCACACTACCAGCAGGAACCACCACACTACCAGCAGGAACCACCACACTACCAGCAGGAGCCACACTACCAGCAGGAGCCCCCACACTACCAGCAGGAGCCACCACACTACCAGCAGGAGCCACCACACTACCAGCAGGAGTCACCACACTATTAGCAGGAACCACCACACTACCAGCAGGAGCCACCACACTACCAGCAGGAGCCACACTACCAGCAGGAGCCACAACACTACCAGCAGGAACCACCACACTACCAGCAGGAGCCACCACACTAACAGCAGGAGCAACCACACTACCAGCAGGAGCCTCCACACTACCAGCAGGAGCCACCACACTACCAGCAGGAGCCACCACACTACCAGCAGGAGCCCCCACACTACCAGCAGGAGCCACCACACTACCAGCAGGAGCCACACTACCAGCAGGAGCCACCACACTACCAGCAGGAGCCACCACACTACCAGCAGGAGCCACACTACCAGCAGGAGCCACCACACTACCAGAAGGAGCCACACTACCAGCAGGAGCCACCACACTACCAGCAGGAGCCCCCACACTACCAGCAGGAGCCACACTACCAGCAGGAGCCACCACACTACCAGCAGGAGCCACCACACTACCAGCAGGAGCCCCACACTACCAGCCAGGAGC